AGGAAAGGAAAGGAAAGGAAAGGAAAGGAAAGGAAAGGAAAGGAAAGGAAAGGAAAGGAAAGGAAAGGAAAGGAAAGGAAAGGAAAGGAAAGGAAAGGAAAGGAAAGGAAAGGAAAGGAAAGGAAAGGAAAGGAAAGGAAAGGAAAGGAAAGGAAAGGAAAGGAAAGGAAAGGAAAGGAAAGGAAAGGAAAGGAAAGGAAAGGAAAGGAAAGGAGAGGAGAGGAGAGGAAAGGAAAGGAAAGGAAAGGAAAGGAAAGGAAAGGAAAGGAAAGGAAAGGAAAGGAAAGGGGAAGTTTAACTGCTACTCTGATTACAGCCACCCACCCCTGCCACTGGACCAGAATAAGAGCTGCTGTGGGAACTAGTTGGGAGGACGTGACTCCTGTTCAGAACTCCCTGTTGGCCTTTTGATCTTCTGTTCCTTTTGGAACATTTATCTATGCTTAGTGACTTCATTCTTATCCTGTGAAATGACATCCCTGATAGTTCCCTTATTTCGTTATTTTGTTTGTTTGGTTTCACTAGCCAGGGGAAGACATTATGGTGTCAGGAGGTTAGTTCTCCAACCTAAGATAATGAAATGGACAGGCGATCATACCTTTTTGTATCTGGCAAACCCAGTTGTTAAGATGTTCACAGTTAATGTCATTCCAGGACATACCAGAGTCACCTCTCAATTCACCACAGTATTCAACATTTTGGTAATTATTAGGTTCTCCATAAGCCCAGTTTTCATATGAAACCTGCATTAGAAACATTAAATTGTAACCATTAACCATTTGTGTCAGGCCAATGCCATCCCCCTATCAAACAGAAAAAGAAAGACATGCTTACATTTGTAAAATCCATTTCTTTTTTTTAAAAATAATAGCTCTGCTTTACAAGCACAGTTTATGAGCATGGGTAGGAAAGTAATAACCTTTACTACATGGATATTTTTGAAGTTTAATAGAGCGTATAACTAACTTTTATAAATATCTTTTCACTCTCATTAAAGAGAATGGATCCAAGGTCTACAAAAGTAGAATTTATAGACAAGAAAAAACTGGCAAAAAAAAAGTTATTCTTTTTAGTATTGAGAGTCCTGAAATTTACAATCCATTTTTAAAAGTCTATTTATTTATTTATTCATTTATTCATTCATTCAGAGAGAGAGACAGACAGAGAGACAGCATTCTCAGCAGGGTCCCCATGCCACAATCCACCCCCAGTCTCAGCTGACCCCAAATCACAGACAAGTATATGCCATGTTTATTCAGAAAGGTCTCTAGACAAACCAGGACTCTTCTCATGTGGGATCACCTTGCACAGCTCTGCATTTTACTGCTGTGCCACCATCTGGACCCTATGCAACCCATTTTTAAAGGAAAATATTTCAGTGTGTTGTCGGAAGCTTTCTCTTTATGAGATGGGTAAGTTAAGAAATTTACAATTAATTCTTCTTATAAAAACAAAATAGACCTATAAAATGTTGCTAACAAAGTGACCTAACTTGGCCAACTGGGTTTAGTACTTCATGGAATTTTAAAAATGGAATCAGAACCCACTGCGTTTTAGACTAAGCATTATGATCTATTTTCCAGAGCTGAAAATATAAAATCTAAATGTCAATGGACCCATCAAATAAACCATTCTACTTAAGAGCATTAAAAAGTTGCTGGTAGGTTGAAAGGTAGAATTGACATTTTATACCAAACCCCTTTCTGTGATCCCTAAAGCTGCAAAATATTGCCAGCATGTGCCATAAACTTCCTACTTCTCAGAATGGATGTTTGAGAAGCCTAATAATTATTACTGGGAACCATAAATATTTCCAGTTGAACTGATCAACAAGATGTTACATAATGTTCAGTTTTGGGCCTAGCCCAGTAGCCTGGTGGTTAAGGGAACTGGATCCCACATGGCATGGTCAAAATCTTGGCTCTGACAAATTGAAAGACTCACTTAGCATGTGTGTGTGTGTGTGTGTGTGTGTGTGTGTGTACCCCAAATTCCAAGATGGATATGCGGAGGAGAAAGGATTGCAGTGCCCATGCCCCAGGGAGGGGTGCTTTCTCCTTCTCCTCTATCTTTCCATCTCTCTCTGGCTAGCATGCACATACCCTCTGGCAACTAAAAAAGAAAAAAAAAAAAACCTCGATTTTAAGAAATGTAACTATTTGTACATCAATTTTGTGTGGTACATGAAGATATTACTTTATATAAACTAGTGGTAGGAATTTTCATTTTTATTCTTTCTTTTTCAATCCAGTTAACCACAACTATCTTTTGGGTGAATAAGAGAACTAAATTGAGGCAGAGGCAGGATAGTGGTCCTAAAATTGAATTGATTTTGCATAGAAAAATGTCACTATTATAATAACCTGTCAAAAATTTGGATTAATCCAACATCAAAATAAGTACTTGATAAAGTAAAAAAAATGAAGAAAAAAAGTATATTAATCGAACTACTCACAGGAGACCCATCACTCCACGTAAAACCCTCTGAAGGACTTCCATATGTCAGTCCCAACCAGAATAATTTGTGGTAGCTTCCAGAAGCCCTACAATATCGAAAACAAAGAAAGCAAATATTCTTGCATAAAGCAAATTCAGTACCCTATGAGAACTAACCAGAATTAAAAGTTACCACCAAAACATAAATCAATTAGTACAAAAGTAAAGGAATTTAATGGCTAAATTGTAAGCATTATGTAATACATAAGCATTTTGGTAAATCCATAAATATCCTGAAAATGGGCTACTGTTTCAGAACAAATATTACAAAGCACTGAAAGAGTCACTCACTCATTCATTTTACAAAAATGTTTTGAGAATCTTGTTGTCTTATAGAATAATTTCTTGCAGAATTTATACCTATAAAATTAAAGAATTTGGAAGTGCAACTAGATCCAAAAAGGCCCATGTATAATACAAGTGCCAAAATCACATCCTGAGCCAATATTCTAAGACATATAGAAGTTTTTCTCAACACTATAGCACCAAATAGATAAAAAAAAACAAGAGTATTATTATACAGAAGAGATACTTACGTTATGAGTCGCCATATTGCCAGTTGTTCCTCTTTATTATTGATACTAGCTAGATCTCCACCCAGAGCTCTACAAAAATCACGCGATTCAAACCATGTTTTCTTCTCATGTTTTCCTTTTGCAAACAGCTAAAGATAATATGGTTACAGAAATCATTTTGCATTTCATAGCATATCAAATCAAGAGAAATAATTATTGACTTTTGATGAGATTTCACTTATAGAAATGTGAAGCATTGCAATGCCCCCAAACAACATAATTCTCTTGATTTAAAATTAATTTATGAGTAAATATTTGTGTAACAAACCTTGGGAGGTACTTTTGTTGATAAAAATCTTAGAGAATAAAGTTATTTGACACACAGGAGAAATTAGATTAAAATCACGTAAGTGTTAGGCATATGGATTAGGTATAATGCACACTGTGAAAGACAGGATTAATTTGGTTGAGTATAAATAGTATAAGATGTAAAAAAAATGTAAAAGAAACTTTTGATACAGAAAAAAGTAAGCATGAATAAGGAAGTAGTCTCCCTAAAATATGTCAGTTTGTTATCCTACTTAGCTTAAACAGTGAATAACCTGGCAGTCTTTCTTTTTCAATTTAATTTTATCATTTTTTTGTATTTAATTTTGTGTATCTTTATGGCATACAATATGGTTTTTCAAAGTATATATGCATGTGTGATAATTAAATCAAGAAAATTACCATATACATTATTTTCCACAAAGAACTTCACATGCTTGTGTCCATTAAACACCTTTTTTCCGGTGCCCCTCCCATCCATACCCCACCATCTACCCCATTCCCTACAATCTCTGGTATATCTACAGTTGTCCTTCCTAGTTTTATGTCTTTGAAGTTTTCCATTTTTGCCATAGAGTATAGATATTTGGTATATATGGAACAGGGACAAGCAGTGTTTGTCCCTGGTTCACCTCCCGACTCTGGATAATTATGTGCTTTTCCCCAAAAAATCACAATGAATTCCCACAGCTTACCATCCTCAAGCAAGTATAGGATGAAACCAGCCTTTGACAATAACTCAAAAGTTTCCAGAGGTAATAATAAAATACCTAATTTGCTTTGTGTTAGTCCTTAAATAATCCCTTTATAAAAATCCCCTTCTATCTTAGCCCAATATACTCCTTTTTATAAATTTTGCTTTGGGACCTGACTGGCTAATCTGGACTGAAGAGCTCATTGATTTCTATTGCTACTAGTGAGAGTTACCAGCTCAACTAGCCATATTCTCTTGAGTTAGAGAAGAGATCATGAAACAATATATAACCATATTTCTATATTTAACTAAACCTAACTTTCTCTAAAAAGAATATAACTTATAAACAAGAGGGAGGGAAAAAAAGAACCCAAATCCTTATTCATTGGTGTGTGTGCTTGTTTGTTTCTGTTTTTCTTTCTATTTTTGTTCATTTGGTTGTCTTGATGAATTTGATTGCATAATAGAAAAATAGGTGGTCCAACTAAGGAATGTATAACATAATGGTATAATATAGAATTGTCATTTGAAGAGCAGTGAAAGACCATGTGCTCGTGAAAAATCAATGTCTTCCTTTATCATTGCCCAACATTAGTATCTGGGGTTAAACCAAAAAAATTTAAAATTTTTAAAAGTAAAATGGAACATTCTCTCTAAAATACTTATGTGGCATTATTATGTTAGTTTATCAATTAAGTTAAATAAAAGCTTGGACTCTAAGAACATGACAAAAATGAGATGCAAGTGGATAACATGAGCAGGAACAGATATTTTCATCAATTGTAAGCTCAAATCAGAGCTAGAAAACATAAAGGACAGAAACAGAGAGGCGTTATAATGTCAACGCATATGAGAAAAGACTTCTCTGAGTTGTGTTTGTATCATTGGCTGTATTTGTTGGTCAAAACACAACCAGTCATTAGCATCTACCCAAGGAGTTCTTTTAAAAAAATCAATTCCCAGTTTCCCTCCAGATCAATGAAATCAGGATTTGGACAGGTGGAACCTGGGTGATCTGTTTTGGGTTTCAGTTTGTTCTGTAATGCCTTAGGTGATTCTTAGTGTGAAGCATATCCCAAATCTTAAATTAGCTTAGTAATTGATACTTACCTTGAAGCACAAGCTTGTCTTACTGGTGGTGCCCCAGTCCTCTGGACATTTGGGTTCTGGAGTTGTTGTGGGCTCTGGTGGGCGAGTGACTCCTTCAGCCCAGTGTTTGCACACAAATTTTGCCTTTTCATCACACCTCAAAACTTCCCATAAGCCCCCTGCAATCCCAGTTCTCATGGCCACACACCCTGCTTTTCGCCCTGCATTAAATACAAAAGGTAGAGTCCACTCAAGAAGTGCTTACTGAAGACATCCCATGCTCACTGAAGATGGTCGGAGTATGTGAGAAAGTCTGCTTGTGATGACAAATGTAGAAGAGTTACTTGTGGCATTTGGTAATTGATTAATGCTACACTGAACCATTATTCACCTCGTATTTATATGGTCTGTGTCCCCAACTAAATTATGATCTCAGATAAGGGAGTTTGAACCATATTTGTATTTCTAACATATGGTAGAGTGTCCTACATATAGGCATTTAATGAAACAACACTTTTAGTATGATCAAATTTACCATAATAATAACAAGAGCAGTTTAATGGTTCCTTCCTCCCTCCCTCCCTCCCTTCCTCTTTCATTCCTTCCTTCTTCTGTCCTCGCCTTTCAACTTTTTAATTTTTAAAAAATTTTCTTTTCCTCTAGAGTCCATAGCAGGACCAAAATTCTTCCCAGACTTCAAAATGAGAAACATCTGAGCTACAGATTGTTGGTAAATTACTCAACCACTCTGAACATGCTTCTTTATCTTAAAGTGTTAATATCAGGATCAACCTTACATGGTTGTAATGAATGCCAACCTTAATGATAAAGTACATAAAATAGAATTGGGAATTTCCTAAGCTTAATAGTTCATTTTTCTATTATACAGTCATGGTTATTTCCAAATAGTCATTAACTAAGAGCCTTGAAAACTCTTGCTATTAAGATAAAGTAATTTTTTTTCAGTATTTAAAAAAAATCATTAAAAGCCTAAAAGTCTCTCTCAAAGTGCTGGGATATAAATCTTTTTCCAGAATATTTCATCTGAAATCTTGATTTCCTCGCATTCCACAAGTTTTCTCTGATTCCTGTGATACCCCGTTCTCTTTACAGTACTGAATCGAAACTAGATAACTCTGAAATAAAGGAAACTGAGGCTGCAGCCTCCCACTGCCTCTTGGAGTTGGTGCAGCTGACCGGATGCTCAAGGCAGGGCCCCTGTCTCTTGCCCATTCCTTCTGAAGCTGTACATCTGACAAAGAGGTCAACCTCCTTTAAGAAGGAACCTCTATCTTTTCATTAAGGATATATGGTAACAGTGAGTGGAATCAAGTTGTAGCTCCAGTTTGAACCATTTTTACTCCCTAAGGACATTCCAGGATTAATATCTCAGAATCCTACTGCTGAATGAGTAACACAAAGGAAGCAAGCTCACCTAGAGAGTAAGATCCACCATTTCTACTCAGATTTTTTTAAAAAATAAATAAGCACTCAGCTCTTAATATGGTATTCAGTTATTTTCTAAAATAAACTGAAATCTTATTATTTCTCAACAATTTCAGAAATATAACAAGCAAAAATCACACTATCCAGGTTATGTATCTATTGTCATTATTGAAAGTGGAGAATGAAAATTAAGAGTCTGAGGAAACACATCAAGAAGAAAAACAGAGAGGCAAGATATTTATGGGACACAGAAAGAAATTATTATCTGTTGATGATAGCATGTATAATATCCCCAACTGGACTAGTGTAAAGTGTGGGAAAATTCACTTTACAAGCTAAGTGATGTATAGTGATTAAATGTATAAAAGAAATTAAAATAAAATACATTAACTTTAAAAAAAAAAAAAAAAAGAATCCCTGAGGATTAGGATGTATTAGGCCAAGTAGTAAATAGACTAGGGCTATTTTCATAGACTAGGGCTATATTTCTTTCTTAGATTTTTACCAGGTACAATGAAACAATTGCTAGAGAGGATGTTGAATTTTCTATGTTACCATATTTAATAATGTGGTATGGGAGTGAAACCAGTATAGAAAGAAGGCAACCAATATTTCAGGCAGACAAATCAAAATATATAGGGAAGCAGAATGTGCAAACAGCACAGATTTAGAAATGACACACAATAGCTCAAATCCATGTCTAGAAACTTTCTAGTCACCTGAAATTTCCAAGTCCTAGTTTCTACCTCAGGTAAATGAAGATACTTAAAGTTGCCTTGCAGGGTTCTTCTAAAGCATGTAAAACCCAAGGCAAATGAAGAGCTAAACCTGGTGGTATGTACAAGATCTTGCAGTTGTGATTTCCACATGAGCATGATCCTTGGATTCCTAAATTCCTATTCATACTTTCAGTGAAACATTTATAATAATTTAATAGAGTTTTAAGTTCTCACATACAAATGAACCATTCAGAACTTTTGTGACCATTTAGGATTTCGCAAATTTTTCTAAATAGACCCATACCAGATAACCTAGCAATTTCTTCTTCCTTTGTTCCCTAGGATGCTTTAAACTCTTGGGAATTTTTTTAAAAAGAAAGAAAAGGAAAAATTTAAAAAAAAAAAAAAAGAAGAAAAAGAAGAAGAAAAGAAAAAAGAAAATGAAAGAGAAAATATTACCAAAAGTGCAATTAATTCATGTAGTCTATTTGGAAGGGAACACAGAGGAATAATAGTCATTGCCCAATGAATTAAAAGTGTGAATGAAACCCTCACTTAAGGCACAACAGGTACCTGGCATGTCTGAATTCCAGTGGGTAAACCGAACCTCTTCATCAATGGTCCACTGAAAGGTCCCTTTGTTTTGTACATCTGAAAGTCCAGTCCAGAAATATCTTTCAGGCCTCAACCCAACCAAACTAGTCAGGAATGCTTGTTCATATCTTTAAAATAAATAAATAAATAACAATTTTCAACACACAAAAAAAGGATCGTAGTTCTATGTTTGAGCTATAATTTAGTTGGTAGTTCAAATATATTGTATTATACTTCTATGTCATCTAAATTATACAAATTTCCACTAAGAAAATTAAGTTTATGAAGGAAAAAGACCATACAACTCAGTGACAAAAATCATTCAAATCTAGGGACCAGCAGTTAGCGTAATGGCTATGTCACTGGACTCCCACGTAGTCTACCGTGGTTCGTGTCCCGAACCCGGTGGCTTAAAACTCACGCCGGGCGCATGTGCGTGCGTGCCCAAGACCCTGAGGAGAGAATGGAGGAGAAGGGAGTGTGGCGTGACCAACCCCCCTGGGGGGTGATTTCTCGCTTTCTGTCTCTATGTCTCTCTCTGTCTGTCTGGTGAGCGCACGTGCCCTTTAGCAAAAACCTCTCCAAAAAAAAAAAAAATCATTCAAATCTAGGGACCAGCAGTTAGTGTAATGGCTATGTCGCTGGACTCCCATGTAGTCGACCACAGTTTGCGTCCCGGACCCAGTGGCTTAAAACTCATGCTGAGTGCGTGCTTGTGTGCGCCCAAGATCCTGAGAGGAGAATGGAGGAGAAAGGATTGCAGCATGGCCATGCCCCCTGGGGGGTGATTTCTCACTTTCTATCTCTCTGGCAAGCACACGTGCTCTATAGCAAAAACCTCTCAAAAAAAAAAAAAATCATTCAAATCTATTCAAATTACTTTTCCGTCATCCTCACTAGTCTCTTTACTGATTCTCAAAATTTAAGACAATTTTGAAAACACAAAGGAGGAAACTATAGCATTTAAAAATATGTTGCTTAAAAAAATCAGTCCAAGGCCAGCCGAAGGCACGGTGATTAAGGCAGGTGGTGTTTCAGACCCAGAAGCTTGAGAAAATGCCAGGTACATGTGTGTGCATGCCCTAAACCCTAAAAAGAGGAAGAGATGGAGATGAGATTGCACCGTGACCATACTCCCTACGGGTGCTTTCTCACTTTCCCTCTCTTTTTCTCTTTCTCTCTCTCTCTTTCTCTGTCTCTCTCTCCAGGGAGAGTATGTACTCTCTGAGAAAATAAAATTTAAAACATTAGACCATTTTTCAAATAGGTCAAATAATGTACTCAATTCTTGATTGAGCAAATTGAGGGATAGTAATATTATCAAGGATAACACAAATAGAATAATTTACATGGGTTACCCCCTCAAATTCATTCTCATCTCAGCTCTGAAACAGAAGGAAACATTATCAAGAAATATAGTCAAGCAAAGATGCAGTCTCTAAATTGGAAAAAGAATCATTAATTCCAACACTTTCTCATTCTTTAGATTCTCATCTAGGCATATTCCCATGACAATATAATTCAACTGCAATTCAAAGCAATCAAGGCTTGTTTAAATCGACCAAGATAAAAAATGTAGGCAGCAACATAAGGAAAAATCTTTTTGGAGCAAATGAAAACTAGAGCCCAAAGAGAATCATAGATGATTCCAGAGACAGCAGAAAGAAAACACAGGGAGTTGTAACATTAAAAGAGCATTGGTTTGGCTGTAGTCTGAATAATTTATTTTCCTAAACAGTACAAACCATAAAGAGAGAAAAGTTTCAAACCCTCAAATGTCTAAAAAATCAAATTTAACAACAGTTACTAAGCTTCTGAGTATTAATATCATAGAAAACATGAAAAGATTTAAAAATATATAAAACATAGTGAAATCTTATATGTAATAAATTCTCCAACAAAACAAATCATTCGTAATAGTGCAGACCAAAAGCAGAACCCTGTGATACTTAAAGATAAGCAGTTTACCTCCTTTGTCGAAGATGAAAGGTTCTGATTTTTCTGTTAGCATTCTATCAGAGTACTATGCTCTATTAGACATTTAATTGCACATGAAAAAAAGGATGTATGTAAAAAGAGGAGATAAGTTGAAATATAGTACTTTTATAAAAACTATGCAAATGTTATGACACTTGTTATTTTCATAAAAGGACTTTTTTGAGAGGTTTTTCGCTATAGGGCGTGTGTGCTCACCAGAAAGAGAGAGACAGAGAGACAGGAAGCGAGAAATCACCCCCCAGGGGGGGATGGCCACACCGCAATCCCTCCTCCTCCTTTCTCCTCTCGGGATCTTGGGCACACACGCACACGTGCCCGGCATGAGTTTAAGCCACCGGGTCCAGGACTCGAACCACGGTCAACTACGTGGGAGTCCAGCGACATAGCCATTACACTAACTGCTGGTCCGTATAAAAGGATTTTTAATAACACTAGTATCTCCTACATTTTTACAGGGTCTGCCTTGAAAGTTTCAATAAATATCATTTATTGTATTAAAACTCAACAGGATTAAGAAGACCCTGGGTTTAAGTCTCAGGACCTTCCTCAGCACACTGGACGCACACGCACACAACTGTGATCCTGGCTGACTGAGACTTGGGTGGATCGCAGCACAGAGAACTCAGTTGGGGAAGCTGTGTCCATCTTTCTGTCTCTCTCTTTCTCATGGAATGAATTAACTTTTTAAAGACTCAACAATTTTTTACCACTTCACTGAAAATTAGATAGATATATTTAAGTTTCTTTCAAATTTCTTCTCAGCCTAATTCAGGGTTTTGCAGAGTACGTGAATAATAAAGAAAGAAATCCTAAAGATGGATAGGACCCTAGACATTGACAGTTACATAAAATCCTCTATGTTCATGTCATTTTTTTGCCTATCAGTTCATTAACCTAGGAAAGCAAAGACTATAAAGAATGAATGAACTATTCAGCAAATCTCTTTGGTGGATAAATAAGGTGGAATTCTGAGCTTACAAATTTACTTACCTTTCCTGCTTTAAAATTTTTAACACATAGCAGATCAGAAAAAAAGTTAGATCTGGAAACCGCATCTACTACATTATTAGTGAACTGTTTTAGATATTGCTTTATAAGACTAAAAGTAGCAAAATAGTTTATAAGTTTGCAATGAAAAATCCAAATAAGAATATTAGAATATTATTTCTAGTACTTCTACCTTTACACACCATACCTCAAAATCACACATAATTTACTCAGAAATTTAGAGTATGTTAATACTTAGGCTTTTCTAAAAACCTCTCACTAGTTGACATATTTTAAAATAAAATAATTACATACCTGTCTTCAATGGTTGTTAAATAAGCCTTCTCATTTACGCAAGTTTGGTTTGCTTCTGTAAATGTTGACAGTGTGTGTCCAATTAAATAGCAATAAAAGCCGTGTTTTTTCCAGCCCTATTGTTACCAAGCAGTGAATAAATAAGCAGATTATCTCGGATATGTAATAGAAATGTTGTTTTAATTACCCATCTACCTATATTGAAACACAAATTGATCAACAGAAATGTCGGAGGGCACAATTCCAAAGAAACTGAAATATAATAAAAACAATACATAAATGAATAAAAAAATAATAGTACCTTGTTTCTTGTATGACAAATTATGATAAAATGTGAAGGGAGGACAATCGTTCTCTCCACTTCTGACCCATTTTCCAATGAAAGCTATTCTTACAATGTTCACTGTGGAAAGTGAACAGAATGGCTGTTTCTCAGTGAGCAGAATAGGCAACAGTAGGAAATACTTTGGGGACTAGCAAGCCTAACTGCCTATTTAAACCAATAGTAGATGGTAAGTCTGAAGTTCTATCATCTGATCATAGGAGAGCACGTATCATACTTCCACAACATGATGTCGCATGGTTTCTCTCCCATACTTCAGAAATGCTAGATAAAGAAATTAAAATAAATGAAAATATATACTGTAATAAAATATTGGGGCGGAGGGGGAAGAGAAATCTACGGGTATTGAAATAAGTAGAAAGCTAAAAGCTAAATTAAAAATGCAGTTGCTGAAATTTTGGTTGCCCAGGGGTGTACCAGATCGAGATTAAGGTTCAAGAGGCTGTGGTATTACTTTTCATACAGATTAGGATATCTGACCTGCACCCACCTAAGGCAGAGAGAAAGAACTGGAGTCATTGCATAAAGATGATAGCAGTAAGGGTAGCCCCTTTGTGAAGGGAGAGCTAGAAATTTTTACCTAGGAAATGACAGTCTTGTCATCTGCCTGGGGTACTGGGTACCAGAAAAAAATTCTTTGGTTTAAAAATAAATGCCACATCTGTGCCATGGATAAATGCCAGTTCCCACTTTATGCTATCTGCATTGTATGAGAATCCATGGCTAAAATACTTGAAGTAATGTTTAGCTGACAAAAGGGGACTCTCTCAAGTACTCAAAACCAGAATGCAAAGTTACAGAACTGAAATATCTTCACAAAACAAACCAGGTCATGTGAAGCCGACATTGGGGTGTAGGGGTAAGGAGAGAGTCAGATACTAACTCACAATTAAAAATTACAAATCATATGAGAAAATGTCCCATTTTATAGGAGACTCAACAACTAAACATAATATAACAATCTTTTGAATTGTGTATATACACAAACATGTTTGATGGGCCAGCCGCATAACCTAGTAGTTAGAGGAACTGGATATGACTGAAGTACATGACCAAATATGGTCCAAAGCCCAGCTCTGGCAGCTTGAAAAACATACTGGGTTTTTGCGCATGCATGCCCCAAATCTGGATAGGATAGAAAAATGGAGAAGGAATTGCAACACAATCACACCCCATTGAGAAGTGCTTTTTCCTCTTCACCTTTCTGTCTCTCTCTGACCAGCACACACACCCTCTGGCAATTAAAAAATAAAAAGCATTGGCATAGCAGTTGGCATGGTGGTTAAGGCACTATATCCCACATGGCTGACTGCACAGTTCAAGTCCCAGACCTGGCATTTTGAAAAACACACTGGGAGGGACCACCAGATGGTATAATGGACACATAGCTGGACTCCTACACAGTCAACCATGGTTTGAGTCCCTCATACCATGTGTGTATGTGTGTGTGCCCAAAATTCCAAGAGAATGGAGGAAAAGGGATTGCAATGTGACCATCTCCCCAGAGGGTGATTTCTTGCTTTATATCTCTCTGCCTCTGTCTCTCCAGAGAGTGCATGCCTCCTACAGCAAAAATCTATAAAAGAAAAGAAAAACACACTGGGCACATGTGTGTGTGTGCCCAAACTCCCAAAAGGAGAATAAGATAGAAGGGATTGCAGTGTAGCCATCTACTCTAGGAGGTGATCTCTCACTTTCCCTCTCTCTGTCCCTCTTGTAAAGCAAACATTACAATGTATTAACAATATAATAATAAGCATGCTTGAAATGATACCATGACCCAGATAAGAAATATAATCAGTTTTTCAAAGGGCAAAGTACTATGTATAAGGAAAAGGAGGATTTGAAACAAAAATTGAATTTCTAGAAAACTAGAGTAATGAAGTTAAAAACTCAAAGGTCCGATTAGATATAGGAGACAGTGTTTCAGGAGGAATTATTGAATTGGATGAATATAGCATAGAATGAGATGAAAATAGAAAACAGGTTAAAAAAAATGTTGATAGACAATAAAATGAGGTTGAACACTGATCTAAGAGAGTTCACAAAAGCAGTGAGTAAAATGAGTGACTGGTAATTTTTAAGAATTGGAAATTAGATATGAACTCTCAAAATGAAGAATCAAACTGAGAACCAAATGAAATAAATTAAATAAGTCCAAATCTACACACTGCAGTATAGATTGCGGTATAGACTGCAGAATGCCTAAGACGAGGAAAAGATCTTAAAATCATTCAGAGGAATTATACAATACTCAATTTTAAAAATAATTGGTGTGATACCAGAAATTTGAGTGGCAAAGATAAGAATACGGGCAGAATAAAATAATAAGATATAAATTGCTACCAGAAATAAGTTGCCAATTCAGAATTCTAAACTGATCTAGCTAAACTATTATTCAGAGTGAGAAGGAATTTAAGAGATTTTCAGACAAAAACAGTTTCCTATTTCTAGATTCCCCAAAGGATGAACTACTAAAGGACTTACTTTGCAAAGAAGAAATGTTTGACTTAGGAGGAATCGGGGCTAAAATTCTATACCGCCCAAAGATATCAATACATGTTTTAGTAAACCCAGATCTAACTGTGCAAAGAACAATGGTGACTAATGGGAGGGTTAAAGAATAGAATAGAAATAAGGCCTGTGGTTTAGTTAATAGTATCTGCCAATTTCAATGACTTTGTTGTGATACTATACTATAGTCATATAAAACGTCATCGTTGAAGGAAGCTGGAGAGATGATACAGGAGAACTCTCTACTGTTTTTGCAACTTATGAATCTAACACTATTTCTAAAGTTAAAGTTAAAAATGTTTAAATGGAAAAACAATCATTTTATTCAGACAGCAGATCACTGATTAACGGTATCAAGTTAGAACTGCATGCTAAAATATTCAATTATTGGCAAAGTCATGATGCATTTTTGCATAGAAAAATATGTCATGACTTTTCTGAAAGCCCAGTGTATAAGATTAACCATTTAAAAAGTAGAAGTAGAAAGTATAATGCTCCAAACTGCAGAGGGAGAAAAATGGGATAAAAATTATTTAGTAGAATCAATGGAATACAGAAAAGGAGGAAAAAATAATGAAATAAAAGTGATGCACAAAATAAGATGGTAGAAATACATCCACACATACACAAAACAAATCTAAACTCCTTTGTTTGCCAGAGTTCCTCGAATCAAATTAAAAGCAAAACTGCATTTATATATTTACAGGAGACATTTCTAAAAAAGAATAACATTGCAATTTTAATGGTAGATAAAATCAACTTTATGGTTAAAAAGCATGATTAGAAATGTAAAGAGTAATTACTATGGAATATGACTCAGCCGTAGGAACCATGAAACCCTGTCATTCGATTCAAAGTGGATGAATATAGAAGACTTAGTGTTAAGTGAAATAGGCCAGACTAGGAAAGAAAAAGACTGTATGTCCCTGCTTAATATATAGTGAATATCTGAACTCTATGGCAGAAACCAAAAGATCTAAAGATATGATAATAGGGAGGATACCAGCGACTGCAAAAGAGGGGACTAATGGGAGGGGCAAAGGGAAGAAACAATAGACAGGAAAATGTAAAGTTCCCTGTTTAAAATGATATATATATATATTGTCGGGGGCCAGCAATTGGTGTAATGGCTATGTTGCTGGACTCTCACGTACTCGACCGCAGTTCGAGTCCCAGAGCTAGTGGCTTAAACTCATGTCGGGCGCATGTGCGTCTG